CGCGCCTATGTATTATTCTCTATTTATCAACTGAGTTGATGTTGTAAATTGGCCACCGTAAAGGGTTTCTAAACATCAGCTTAGAAATTCTTTACGGAGGCCAATTTACCTTAGCAACTCATTTGATAAAACCAAGTTATCTTGTATTATACCTCACCGACGCAGCACTGCCCGTCGCGCTGAAACGGCTGTCGGCGTGAATAATACTTTCTCTACTTCTAACCCTCGGTTAGCGCACTGGCGCTTCTTCGCTTTTTCGTGCTGCCTGAGTATCTTATCTGGATCCATATATCTATAGGAGTCTGCATTTGGGTGACAAATTCTCACAACAAAAAAAAGCCGAGCTCTGCCTCTACCAGAATCCCTTAGCAACTGTAATCAGCTGCACTTGAGACAAACGCGATTCAGCTTCTTTTTAAAGTCCTTTTATTTCCCAAGACTACTACAATTATTGTGGAAAAAAATTTATTTTTCATTCCTCCTCTTGGCCTCGATGAAACATAAACAAAAAATGGTTCAAATGGTTCCTTAAATGGTACTCATAAACTCACAGATGTTCAATTTCCAAGTCTCCTCGGCTTCATATGCAAAGAAATAAACGAGGACAACACAGATCCTGCGACGGCTTCTGTCGAGCCTGTCCTACCTGAACAGCGGTTGAGTTTGTCCCTAAATTTTGCCTTTGCCTGAGTCCCGCCATTTTTTGATTGCCCGCTTTTCGCTCATTTCTATTAATAAACTCTCACGTGCAGGCTACGTATCTATGTGTCTATCTTGGAACTGAACAAAAATATGTACTTGTTGACTAAGTGAGAAACTGGACGGGAAATGCTTGGCCCGAGGTCATGAAGTACCAGCTTCGCGGCCGGCTCGGTCCATTCCGGCCTCAAACCAAATCATGCTATTTTTAGTATTTAACCCACGATTTTATTTTCAATATTTACTAGGACGAAAATCTGTATCGTCCTAAGTAAAGTAATGCAATATCGGCGTGGGCGTCACTTTTTGGAGAACATGTTTTGCTGGTGTAAATGGGGCATTAGTAAGTTAAGGTATACTCGGAGTAAACGAGGAAAATAGTAAGGCCCAGTGATTCATTTCAAACACTCCAAGTATAGAATTTAAGAATTGAGTTTGCAACAAAAGTTCGAATTCCGATGTTAGCAAAAGTTACAAGAAAGTTATTTTTACTTCAGGGCAGATGTTTATTTCGAATGTAGACGTTAGATCAACGCACGTCAATTCTAGCTGTCTTAACAGAGTTTTGGAACAATTGCTTACCGAAAGCGTGGAGTCACAAACGTTTTTGTTATAAATTACTAACGACTTCCTGCTTGAGAGCAGATCCTTAGCGTGATCTCATGAAATTTAAATGATCCGGCCGTTAAAACCAAATACACTCCTTTCAACTAAGATTTCAAACATTCACTTCCTTGCTAAAGACAGCCAGAACCAAGACAAAGCTCTCTTTTTAGTGCAGAAAAGGCCATAGTACGATTTATGAAAGATGGAATCTGCGATATATCCCTGAAATAATTATAAAGTGTGAATAAAGAGTAGACTCTAACATCTTGGGCCCAAAGATGTTCCTATAACATGAGCTTATTAAACGTTCATAGATTCCTTCGGTAACAAAAGGGGAGAATCTGATTGGCTGAAAATTGTACGTGGAGGAAGGGATCAGGGATTTTTCAAAACCTCTCACCGCCGTTTGGGTTTAGCTTGCTCGCGGGCTAAAGTGTTCGGGTCTCGCCTTGGGGCACGGCCACCAACTGTACCATCAGCAGATGCTTATGAAAAAATGTTCATATGAAACCCCCGAGGGATTAAAACATAGTCAAGCGGGAAAAGGCTTCATTTGGAGCAGTGAACTGTGGTACCAGGTATCCATATTATAAATTAGTCAACGTTTCTTCTCGCTTCGATTCTTGGAGTATGAGCTGGTTCATCAAATTTAAATGCTTTTTTTTTCTCGAAAAGCAAAAAACTATTGGCTGAAACATCAAGAAAAATTGTGTCGTTATTCATCCGACCGGTTAGGGGGTGGAATTATGACCGTGAAATAACTTTGCTAATTTCAATTGATAAAACTAAATTCCGCTACAGCTATCTTTGTAAAGAGCAAGATTCTCGAGACGGAGTAAATGACCTGCTTAGTATACTTTCTTATGGAAATCAATTGGCAAGCTGGAAATTCTGGGAAAATTATACCTTAGCAAATTGTTTTCGACACTTCCGTATTTTAATTTTTATGGAGCAAACACGTTTTCCCTTGAAACAAAGCTTTTATTATTAGTTGAAAGTATTAAACACCATGCTCTTCCACCGACGCAGCACCACAGTTTTTTAGAAAGTTACCCCCTTTATTCATTTACGTTTTAAAGTTGTTTTGCAAACACATTTTGAGATTGTTTCCTTCGTTAAAGTTGCTTTAATTGATGTTTGTTGAAAATCGGTAGATTAAAGAGAATTTATCTGTAAAAAAGAAAAAAAAATTGTTGACTTCCAATTTAGCACAATGAAAATTAAAGTTAATAATGACTTAAACCCTATGTAAAATTCTATTCTAATTTTGTTGCTAATTTTTATTCATTTTAACGTGGTTAAGCGTAACTGAACATGTTTTACTAGTGTGAATGGGGCATAAGTAAATTAAGGTATATTATATGTAAACCAGGAAAATATTAGAGCGTAGTTATTCATTTCAAAAGTCAGGCGGGAAAAGGCTTCACTCGGAGCAGTGAGCTGTGGTACCAGACATCTATATTATAAATTAGTCAACGTTTCTTCTCGCTTCAGTTCTTCGAGCATGAGCTGGCTCATCAAATTTACATGCTGTTTTTCTCGAAAAGCAAAAAACAATTGGCTGAAATTTAAAGAAAAATTGTGTCGTTATTCATCCGACCAGCTATGGGGTGGAATTATGAACGTGAAATAATTTTACTATAAATACGGGTGTAAAGCATGAGTGTTTTATGAAAATTAAGTTTTCATCGAGGATCAAACATTACAGAGGGACTCTCAGGAACAAAAGTTAGGTTTGGCATCATTAATTTATGTAAGGAAAGTGTTCAAACAAATGTATACAAATAGTACAGTAGGCGAAGTGCCAAACTAGTGATATTCATGGTTATTACATCAAGTTCGGAGAAAACTCAAGCATCATGTCTTAGAACTGAAAATGTGACCCAGAAAAGAACATATCCCTCATTCTTGTTTGAGTGTGATTTTATATTTATAAGACTGGTAAGATTTGGTCATCTTTATGGAAGGCTGAGATATGTAGTGGGCATAAGTATTCTTTTTCCTTGTGTAAATTTTTTAACCTGATAGTTTGTTCAGTTTTTCTCGTGAAACTTAGACTCATCATCATCATTGCAACGTTAGATGGTCCAGTTTACTTTGAAAGATTTTACGTTACATGTATATATATATATATATATATATATATATATATTTGTTTTATTCTATGTTTATATTTACTATTTTTATACAGGAGAATGTTACGTCTTGCCCTCTCTGCGATCTTCGTCCTTTCACTCTTAAAAACCATTGAGGGAGCCGCAGGTAACAGTTTACAAGTTAATCGACTCAGTTCATCCATTAGTGTATTTTAACTTAGATCAGAGCCACTTCGCTTCTCGTGAATTATTGTTTAAGTACTCATTATTTGCAACTTATCGAGTAAGTCTTGAAGATCCCTAAATGATTATTTTCCTCTCGATTTTGCTTTCAGGAATCTCCTTTATTTAGTTAATGTGTTATAGATAGCTTGGTTATAGATTGAGGGGGAGAAAAACGTCTTTTACCCATTTTTTAAGTACTAAAAGCAATCTTAAGGTGATTCCTAAAAAGACAAATTTTTGAACAGTGTTTTTAAACTTTCCTTGAATTTTTCCTATCAACCTCTGTTCGAGAACTATAGCATATAGGAGGGATCACCGTGTGTTCTTAAGAGATATGATGGGTCAATCTTCACTTTTGCCTGTGC